CTCTGTCTCTCTTGCTAACTCCTTTGCCTTCTTTTTCTCTCTCTTGTTCTTTCGCTAGCTTGCTCTTTCTCTAGCTTGCTCTCTCTCTATCTTGCTCTCACTTGCTCTCTCCCTCTCTCTCTCTCTCTCTCTCTCCGTATCTCCCCCTGTCTCTCTCTCTCTCTCTTTTGCACTCCCTTGCTCGTTCTTCTTTCTCTCTCTCTCTCTCCCTCTCTCTCTCTCTCTCTCTCTCTCTCTCTCGCTCTATTTCTCTCCCTCCCTCCCTCTCTCTCTCTCCCTCTCTCTTTCTTGCTCTATCAGATTCTCTCTCTTGCTCTCTCTAGTTCTTTCTCTAGCTTGCTCTCAATTGCTTTCTCTCACTCTCTCTCTCTCTCTCTCCTTTCTCTCTCTCTCTATCTCTTACTCTCTCTTTTGCTCTCTCTCTATCTCTCTCTCTATTCCTTTCTCTCTCTTGCTCTCTCCCTAAGGAGTGGAGCAATGGGCTGTTGGATCAATGTCAAATTCGCCAAGGAAGTTCACCTCTCCAGTTTGGATACAGCTTCCCAATCTACCGTTGGCCTACTGGGACGCTTAAAATCTGGCCCGGCTAGCCACTAGCATCTGGGAACCCCTTTTCATGGATGAACCGACCAATTCATGGAACAGATGTGCCTTCGCACGTATTTGCGTTCGGTTGGATTTATCGAAGAAGTTACCCAAGGGCGTGTGGGCCCATGGGTTGGGAGGCTCTTTTTTTCAACCTATTGAGTATGAGGGCATTCCTCTGATTTGTTTAAACTGTGGGAAGGTCGGCGACAAGGCGGAGGTATGCAAGGAATCCAGAAATATGGGTAAGGTACAACCAAAACCATCTACTACGGCGGAGTATGTTCCCCCTGGGCCAAAGAAGGATATGGAGGTGGACCGTGTTGAGATCGAAGAAATGAGTTTGAAGGTAGCTTCGGCTGATGGATCGCCCGGGTTGGTGAATGAAGAACAGGGTGAGTGGACTATTGTTAGTAGAAGAAGGAGACTCAAGCCTGCTAGAAATGGTGTGAATTTGACGGAACAGAGGATTGCTCAGCTCGGAACAGCAAGGAGAACCTCCAATAATGTGGCCTAGAAGGCTGTTGGTAAAGGGGATGTCCATATAGGGACTGGTGGGGGAACCGGTTCAGGTAGTGAGAAAGAATATGATCAAGAATGTAAGGAATGCTGGAAGTATGGATCAGGGTCCAAGTACTAACGAGAAGGAACCAGCGCTGGTTGGTGGGAGCAGTGGTTCGTCTGATCATATAACTGACTCGCTTATGATGGATAAAAATTGTGATGAACCTATCACAGGTATGCTTCCCCTTTGGTGAATAATGTTTAACATCCTATGTTGGAACTGTAGGGGTGCTCGTAAGAAGGACACAGGGAATTTCTTACGACATCTAATTGGGGAACATGGTATCAATTTCATTGGCCTGCTTGAGACCAAAATGGAAACTTGGACTAGAAGGGATGTGGATAGGCTGGTTGGAAGGAATTAGGATTATTGCTTTCAGCCATCGCGTGGTAGAGCAGGGGGCATTCTCGTTTTATGGAAGAGTATGTTGGGTACCTTCCAGATCTCCTTTCAATCGAATCAGTGCATTATTAGCACCTTAAGTAGGTCTAGTTCTATGGCTTGGGATATAGCTGTGGTTTATGCTGATAATGACATGTATGGCATATGCCAACTTTGGGAGGATATCTCCAATCACCTCTCGGCTGCTTTACCCCATGTGGTCGGCAGTGACTTCAACTGCATTCTAGAGCAAGGTGAGAAGAAAGGGGGTAAATCTTTTTTATACTCCCAACCGGCTAGCGAAATGGGGGACTTTATGGCTGCTAATGATTTGGTTGATCCGGGCTATTCTGGTCCTGCTTTCACATGGAAAAATAACAAAGATGCGAGGAACCGCATCTACTCTCGACTGGATAGGTTTCTGGTTAGCTCGTCCATTCTTGACAACTATCAGGAGCTGCGGGTGGTCCACCTCGCCAGGGTGGCATCGGACCATTGCCCCATCCTTTGTTCTTTTATGGTGGGAGGTAGGAAGACCTACTCAAATTGCATTAAGTTTGAGGATGTTTGGACTACCTTTCCCAGAGCTTGGCAGATTGTCTCGGAGAAATGGAAGGTTCCTGATTCCGGAACAGAAGCGGCTAAGGTGCAGAAGAAATGTCGTCGAACTCTCAAGGCGTTGTTCTTCTGGAGCAGAAATAAGATGGACAGGCTGAATAAACTGAAGGAGGATCTTTATGGGGAGATAAGAATCCTGCAGGAACTTGAATGCTCGCCTACTGGGCTCACTGATGTTCAATCCGAGACCTTGAGATATAAGGTTCAGTTGTTAAAATCCAACTTGGCCAGGATTACTACATGGTGGGGTCAAAGTGCCAAGGTGCGTTGGATTGAAGAGGGGGATGAAAACACCCACTTTTTTCACACTATGGCCTCAGCCAGGCGGCGGGGAAACTCCATTGAACAACTTACTCACCCGAATGGACAACCGCCCACTGAACAAACGGAGATTATGATTATTATCCACGGCTTCTTTGCGCAGAAATGGCAGGGCAACCCCATTACTGAATCGGGTTGGCCCTCATTGGACGCTCAGGTGGCTTGTCTGGATCGGGTGACGGGCTTGTTGGAGGGGGAGGTCACCCGTGAGGAAGTGTGGAATGATGTTCGTTTGCTGGGGCCAAACCGTGCTCCCAGGAGGGATGACATCACGACGTCTTTCTTCAAGGCTTTTTGGGAAATCGTTGGGGATCAGGTGAACCTGGCTTGTCTGAAATTCTTCTCTACTGGACGAATGGATTAACGTGGAAGGAGACGGTGGTAGTCCTATTGCCTAAAATCAAAAGTCCAAATCATCCATCTAACTTCTGACCGATTAGTTTATGTCAAACTATTTATAAAATTGTCGCTAATATTCTTGTTAACTGAATCAAAGGTATCTTACCTAGCCTTATTTCTGAGGAGCAGGCGGCATTCGTGCATGGGAGGTCGATTTCCGACCACTGTTTGTTGGGGCAGGAAATTATGAATAAGTTCCAAATCTCCAAAGCTGCTAAGGGTTGGATGGCTATGAAGGTGGACATGGAACAAGCCTATGATAAAATGAGCTGGCGAACCTTGGAATTGGTACTTCTGAAAATGGGCTTCCCACAAAGATTTCGGTCGTGGGTGCTAAGTTGTGTGATTGCACCTCGTTTCACCATCTTGGTAAACGACATGCTGACGGAGGAGATCACGGCTAAGTGTGGGTTCCGGCAGGGTTGCCCGCTTTCCCCCTATCTGTTCATCCTATGCTCGGAGCTTCTGTCTTTACACTTCCGACAAAACTACCGGGACCTTGGTGTGCAGATCTGCGAGGGGGGACCTCTTGTGTCCCACCTCCTTTATGCTGACGATGTTTTACTTTTTGCAGGTGCTACCATTTCCAACGTGAGGAAGCTCTTGACCATCCTGGACGACTATTGAGGATGGACTGGACAGCTGATCAATAGAAACAAGTCGGCTATTTTGTTCAGTAAACTGGTGCATTCTACATCCAAACACCGTTTAGCTAGACTTGCTGGGTGTCTCAAGGTTGAGGAAATGGATTACATTGGGATTAAATTTGTTATGCGCAGATTGACGAAGGCGGACTTTGGACCACTACTGCTGAAATTGCACAATTATACACTAGCATGGGGGATGCGACATTTATCGCTTGCTGGCAGAATTATTATGATTAACTCGGTTATGCTCCCGCTATCGACCTTTGCTGTGACCCATATGCTTGTCACATGGGGGGTTCTTGCCGAGGTGGAAAGAATCTGTCGCCGTTTCCTGTGGGAGAATGATCCTAATCACAAGAGCTTGCACTATGCTGCATGGGGAAACTTCACAAGGCCGACGAACTTGGGAGGTCTCGGCTTCCACGCTAGCCAGAACTGGATTGGCCCATTGCGGGCAAGAATTGCCTGGGATTTTTTGTGTAAGCCAACAGGTCTTTTTCAAAGGTGTATGAGACATAGATACGGGGATAGGCCATGGAGACAGGATCGGAACCAGGGGGACTCGTGCGGCTGGAAGATCATACGCAACGGGGCTGATAGCCTGACTAATAGTGTCCACTGGAAGGTGGCCAATGGTGCGATATTGATGTTGTTAATCATGTGTGGATTTTGGATATCCCCATTTCATCGTGGCCCACTTACTGTAACATTGAGAGCATAGATGGCTATTCGGTTGGCGAATTCATCACTCCGGGGATGGACTGGAACCGCCCAAAGCTGCTGCAATGCTTTGGGATATCCCTTGTTGACAGGATTTGCGACGTGAAGATATGGGTGGATTCCGAATGTGATTCGCTGGAGCTTATCAAATGCCCGTTGGGATCCTCTGTGTCGTCTATTTGCTACAACTCACTGTTCCAGGGGGATGAAGATCCTGCGTATGCTTTTTTCAAAATTGGCCTTAGACCCCGTGAGCGCATCTTTTGGTGGCGGGTGTCCAAGGACCTGATCCCCACTCTTTCCAGGCCGCATAGGCGTGGTTTGGGAGCTGAGACTTAATGCCCGATTGGCTGTAATCAACCTGAGGATCTGGATCATATCACCACCCAATGCCAATAGCTCAGGAATTTATTGTCAAGACTGGATGATTGGGGGTTCTCTACCCCTAGCTTTTCTTCCCTCGAAGAGCTTATGAGGGCTGTGAAGACTGGATCGAGGTGGGCAAAGCTATACTGCGAAGCGGTCCATCACAGCTGGGGAAATCGGAATGCAATCCGGCACAGCAAGACCGTGACTCCCATCACTATGTTGGCTGCTCGAATTCTTGGATCCACATCGCAATGTTTTTTTTTCTCTTAACCGGGAGCAACGGGTCACTCGCCAATCCCCTGGATTGTTACACTTCTATTCCTGGTGTCCCCCCTACTGGTTGGCTGAAAATCAATATTGACGGTGCTCTGCGCAGGAAAAATGCTGGTGGGATCTGGATTGTTATTCGGGGTGATCATGGCAAGCTTGTTGTGGCGGCCGGCTGGACCATCACTCACTGGGACAGCACTCAAGTGGAGATCATGGCGGTTTACTTTATTGAGAAGCTGCTCCTTCAATGGATGTATGAGGTGGATGGCGTTATTGTTGAGGGGGATAACGAGGGCGTGATGGAGTTTATGCACAAGTGCCAGCAATGAGAATAGTGGCGGCACCGGCCTGAGGAGGGAGATAAGCTGAACTGGTTAAAGGAATTTTCTAAGGTTCTTTTTGTTCACACATATAGAGAACACAACATGGCAGCTCATTTTTGCGCTCAAAGAGAGATTGATGATAGTTTTGTTCGGGATATGGGAGATACACATAGTATATTTATTCCTCAAGAGTTTTTGTCCATCCTTGAGGATGAATGATAGTTTTGGGTGTGAACCGGGTTAAGGGTCCCCTGGTATTTTTTCTTCCTTATTGGTTTTGTAATAGTTTTGTAATGGTCCCCTTTAGAAGAATGCAAAAGCAAAGTTCAACTCTCTCTCTCTCTCTCCCTCTCTCTCTCCTCCTCTCTCTCTCCCTCTCTCTCTCCCCCCTCTCTCTCACTCTCCCCTTCTCCCTCTCTCTCCCTCTCTCTTTCTCTCTCCCTCTCTCTCTCCCTCTCTCTTTATCTCTCTATCTCTATCTCTCTCTCGCTCTCTCTCTCTCTCTTGCTCTCTCCCTTGCTCTCTCTTGCTCTCTCTTTTTCTTTCTCTAGCTTGCTCTCACTTGCTCTCTCACTCTCTCTCTCTCTCTCTCCCTCTCTCTCACTCTCTCTCCCTTGAGGAGGATAATTGCTCTTTTTTGGTTGATAGACCGGGTAGCCCTTAGATTTCCTTTTCTCTTTTTGGTTGGTTTTGTAATGCTGTTGTTCTTTTTTAGATGAATGCAAATGCAAAAGTTCAGCTCTCTCTCTCTCTTACTCTCTCTCTCTCTCGCTCACTCTCTCTCTCTATCTCTCTCTCTAACTCTCTCTCTCTCTCCCTCTCTTTCTAGCACTCCCTTGCTCTTTCTTGCTCTCTCTCTCTCTTCCTCTCTCTCACTCTCTCTCACTCTCTCTCTCCCTTCCTCTCTCTCTCTCTCTCCCTTTCAGCTCTCTCTCCCTTGCACTCTCTTGCTCTTTCTTGCTCTCTCTCTAACTTTATCTCTCTCTCTCTCTCTCTCCCTCTTTCTCTCACTCTCTCCTTCTCCCTCTCTTTGTGTCTTTCCCTCCCTCCGTCTCTCTCTCTCTTGCACTCCCTTTCTCTCTTTCTCTTACTCTCTCTCTTGCTCTCTCTCTCTCTCTCTCTCTCTCTCTCTCTCTCTCTCTCTCTCTCTCTCTCTCTCTCGTTCTCTCTCTCTCCCTCTCTCTCTTTTGCTCTCTCCATTGCTCTCTCTTGCTCTCTATTATTATGCTCTCTCTCTCTCTCCCCCGCTCTCTCTCTCTCTCTCTCTCACTATCTCTCTCTAAACCCCTCCCACTCTCTCTCTCTCTCTCTCACCCTCACTCTCTCCCTCTCTCCCTCTCTCTCCCCTCCCTCTCTCTCTCTCCCTCTCACTCTCGCTCTCTCTCCCTCTCTCTCTCTCTCTCGCCCTCTCTCTCTCTTGCTCTCCGCCTTGCCCTCTCTTTCCCTCTCTTGTTCTTTCTCTAACTTGCTCTTTCTTTAGCTTGCTCTCATATGCTCTCTCTCTCTCTCTCTCTTTTGCTCTCTCTCTCTCTATCTCTCTCTCGATCTCTTACTCTCTCTCTCTATCTATCTCTCTCTCTTTCTCCCTCTCTCTCTCTTTCTCTCTCCCTTGCTCTCTCTCTCTCTCCATCTCTCTCCTCTCTCCTCTCGAAGTGTCATTTCCTCCCATTTCTTTCTCTCTCTAGGCGACCGAAGGTCTCCCCCCCGCTCAAGAGGGGGTGGTGGTGACGGATTGATCGGCAGTGACGAGAGAAGGCATTCTGGAGTGGGATCGGGAGGATCGAAGAAGAATGGAGATCGTTCGGGAGCTGGATCGGGAGGATCTCCGAGCAAATCTGCGACTGGGAAGTCAAAAGGCAAAGCGCGTGATGCTGGCAAGATGGGATCGGAGGGATCATCGGAAGGCCGTTGGGAGGTCAAGCCAAAGAGCTTGGATCTGAAGACGACAATGCCGATTGCTAGGGGCAGCGTCCTGACGCGAGCGAATGCTATGAAGAGGGAGGATCCTCCTTCTAGTTTGAAGATGGAGATAATGCCGGCTGTGAAAGTAAGTATGAGTATTAACCAGACCTTTGTTGGGACAGAATCTTCAATGGAGATGGATGAACTGCAATCGGCGCAAGAGCAGAGCATTGATCTGGAGGAGATGTTCGATGTCGATGCGGCCATGCCGGGTCAGACGAATGTGATGAAGATTGGTGACGAACAGTCATTGGCGAATGCTGATCCGATGATTGGAGCTGACTGCGCGATGGAGGTTAGTTCTAATTTGAATGATCAGAATAATACTGTTATGGATGATGTTGGGGGATATGAGCTGGTGAAGGAATCAGCAGTGGTTGAAATGGCAGGGGTGAATGAAACAGAGGTTGGTTCTGCTGGATTGAGTAATCAGCAGAATAGCCCTCTAGGTGATTGTGGAAATGCGGCTTTAATTAGGAGCTCGGAGATTGAGAAAGGAAAGGCTCAGATGCAAGTTGAGAATAGATTCTCGCTGTTCTCTGGTGGCGCGAGTAATGCCTGGAGGAAGCCTAAGCACGTTCTGATCCAAAATCCAGAGGAGATAAATGCTTTGTCTAACGATGGGATCACTATTGATCTCAATATGGAGTATGTTATGGCAAATGTGGCCAAATTGGAAAGGGCTGTTGTAGGGAAGATCTTCGGAAGAAGAGTTTCGTTTTTTCTATTGAAAAATGAAATCCAGCGTCAGTGGGGACGATTTGGAGAGTTTTAGCTTACAATGTTGGGACACGATTGCTTTGTTTGTGTATTTGGATCGACTGAAGCTAGGAATGCCATCTTATGTGGTGGCCCGTGGTTCATTGAAGGCAATATCGTGGGGCTGGATCGATGGACGCTGCATTTCTCTCTGGAATCAATGGAAGGATTATCCTTCCCGGTATGGATTCATCTTCCAAACCTTCCTCTTTAGTATTGGGATGATTGCAATATTGCTAGGATTGCGTCGAAGATCGGAGTGCCGCTCTGGATCGATGAGCAGAAGGGAAATTGGGGTAGAAGGGAGTATGCCCGGGTGTGTGTCCGAATGTGTTTGGACAGGAAACTGCAATCGGGAATTTGGATTAATGGTATGAACGGGAGGTTCTACCAAAAAGTAGAATATGAAGGCATTGGGATATTGTGTTATGGATGTGGAAAGGTGGGGCATCGGAAGGAGTTCTGTCCATCTAAAGCTGTTGGACAAGGGGGGAATGAGACCAGAAGAGCAGAAGAACTCTCGAAGCAAGGCGGTAAGGGAGATGGTAATTCTGCCCAGAAGTTGAGTAAGAATGGG